GCTTACTTGAGGTGCTTCTATGCGGGCTATGTGACCGTTTACGTTCATTACGAAATTTAAGATAACGTGTAAATGTAGGACATAACTCGGTTATGTCATTCTGTGTTGTTTGAGGCTTTGTTGGCTGAAGATACCTTGACGTTAGAAAATTTAATGATTTCTAAGGTGCGGTTGGCAGATGCACTCAACTCGTCTACGGCCTCGTTTTGAAACGAGACCAGCGCAGCTAGCACCTGTTGAGGAATTTTAGATAAGAAAAGTTGTCTGAATAGGCCATCATCGAAGGTTCTTTGACCAATCACCTCTCTCATTCTTTGCAACATGTCTGTTGCAGAACCGTGATGCAGGTCAATGTTATTGAGGAGTTGGCCTTACCTTTATCTATCGGTTAGGTCTCTGCGTTTAGGGATAGATCGTTTCAGTGTCTCGTGGGGTTCAGAAACATCACTAGTAAACATACTGGGTCTTACGTACCTGTTAAATTCACGCAGTAGTGCCTTGACTACTCCGAGGAATTGCGCACGTGTTTCGTTCACGCTGTGCTAATTGAAGTCGGCCTCTGTGGAGCAGCACAAGGCTTCGATGTTGTCTGGCCAGAGCGGCATTAATTGAAAGGAAGGTAAGGACATAGTCTTTAACTGAAGTACTTTGGGTATCTGTTCAGTCATGGTCAAATATCACTTACGAGAATGAATGAGTGAATATATATATATATATATATATATATATATATATATATACAAAAACACGGAAAAAATATCCCAATGTATAAAAAATCAAAATAAGGCAATGATATATAAAATCCCATAAAGAAACAGACTCACTGTTTGCAATTTGTCGTACCAGATCACGTTGAGCTCACTAATAAAGATCCTACAGGTATTCGGAGTTTGACGACGCTTTATTCGGTAACACGGACTATGAATCGTATCACCAAGTGAAATCAAAAGACAGAAGCGAGGGGATTTGACAACATATTTGATGGGTTATCAATATATCGCGGATCGACTGATTTAGTCTGGCTAGCGATTGCAGGAGATGTTGAGCACGGCGTTCCGATTAGTGATCTGGTGCAGGTGCATGACCGAGCTCCTTCAGCTAAGTGATTCCGTTAAAAGTAATTTTGTCAGCATCTAATGTCGAAGACTCTATATATTTTGGCGATTTCTTCACAGCTACAACTTCATCATATGGCTGAAGCCATAGAATAAAGAAATTGAGACATTTCAACAACTGTTGTAAATACAAGTCTTTGAGCTTCCCATTTATCCAAATCTATTGAACAACTTTATTGAATCATCTCGGCGGCCGATCCGGATTTTGTGTTTCGAAATGGTCGGCAGCGCTCCAGGGGTATCGCGACACTTTTTTGCGCTACTTCTTCATTTCTGCTTTGTGCACATCCAAATTTTGAAATACATTATGAATAAATTTGAAAATTTAGTTTCCGTTTTCACAATTAGGTAAAAAGGGGTTTTTCCATTTTGCGTTACATGGTATCGCGAAGTCCTTGAAAATTCATTATTCAGGTGCTGCTATAATAGTTTTTCGGTGTTTGCATCGCAGATTAGCAATTGTTTCTAGTTAGGTATGCACTGATGGTAGGCAAATCTTTTAATTTTATATGAAATAGCAAGATTCAGGCATATATTGTCATAAAAATTGTATTGTCGTCAAGGCTACAAAAACTGCGTTACAAATAACGATACCATGTAAAGATTTATCGTTTTTCCCATCTTTATCACAATTTCTGCTGATTTTCACTGTTTTGTTCGACTTTTATGGCAGAACTAGCTTCATAGTGAAAACATTAAGTGTCCTGAGTGTTGTAAATATTATGTATATGCTATAGATGATAATAACACATACCAAGATGTTAATATTGCCTCCTACAGTTAGATATATTAGCCACCAGATGATTGTATTGCAGGAAATAAATCATAATCGTGCGGTAGAGGTATAATTATGTGGAGGTTTTACCAGAGACCAAGCTAAGATAGCATTACTACCTCTTGTGTAGATGTACGCATGTATTTGGCTGTATCAAAGCATGTCATTAAGATATGGTTGTAACTTTTTTCTTTTTTTAAATTCAGAATTCACGGGACGACTACCTTAATTCTCAATAGCCGTGCAATTGTTTTGATGTTATACTTACATTTCAATAAATATTATTTTTCAAACAGCTTACTTTTTTACTTACATGGGAAGCTGTAGAAGTTTTGAGAATGTGTGTTTGAGTGTCAGTGAACAAGTGAATAAATGCACATTCCTTATAAATAATACATCACGTGTTTCTTCTTTTGCAGATAGTTTCACATAACAATGAATTAGCAATTGCATTGGATATGCAAAACAATCGATGCTTAAGCTTCTGCTCTAGTGTTGTACAATAATACGCTTTACCTTTTAAATAAAAATTTTCAAAAATATGCCGGTTTTCCACTGTATTGCAGATTTATTTTGGTCTGTTGTTAAAAATAAAGGCGAACATAAGAGACCTTTGGGTTTATGTCAATGGATGGAAAACAGGGAGTTCTGTGTGCATTTAGGCGAAAAGTAAACAATTCAGCGGACATTTAGGCGAAAAGTAGACAATTATGCGGACAGTTAGGCGAAAATTCGGTAATTTGGCAGATATTTATGCGAAAAGTGAGTAATTTATCGACAAAACGGCGAAGAAAGGGGAAATCCACATTATTTCCCCCGGACAGGCGAAAAAAGCGACATTGTGATGCGTTTTCCCATTTTTGGGTTGTCTGGGGAGCTTCAATATCTTGGCTGCCGGTATTATTGCAAAAATACCTAATATCAGAAATAAGTACTGATATAAAGCTGTCACGAGAAAGCACTGAAAATTACGATTCGATAGTCAAGATGGTACATCATGTTCAAGGTAGCAGTATTTGGTAAACGGTAGGTATGACTAATCGCGTGTGCGCCAAACTGGTAATTATTACACAAGAACGCGAAACAACATCCCTGTCTCACAGCCACATAAGACTGCACAGTACACTCCCTGCCGTTACGCTATAAGAATAAGTCAATGGCCATATAAATGAATTTATGTAAAACTAAAAAGATTACAATATTAGAACTTCTTGTTAGCAAGAAGCATAGCTATGGTCTGTATTAACAATGGATTCTGACGCTGTAGCTTCATCGTTAGCACCGACTGAACTCATCAATTGTGCGCATATGTCTTCCGATGCTTCGAGGCATGAACGGATGAGTTTACTTGCCAAAGGTTCACTAAGAGCATGGACTGAGTGGTAGTTGTTAGTGAACTTCTCTAGCAGATCAACACTCCCTGTAGAGAATGACATGTTGTCCAGCGCACGAAGAACCAAGTCCATTATGTATTTCCATTTCCACCGGCTGCTATGTCGCAATAAGTCTACAAAGCTTATAGAGATAAGGGAACACACTCTTACCTCCACGAATTAGATCTTTGGAATGTGCATACAGAATATGACCACAGGGCAGCATGTTGTCACTGAAACGCTCACAAGCACATCATGCATGTGAAGTATCAACGACATACATCATACACTTGTTGTAGCACCGTATGTATTCTCCTTCTATAAATCCGTGTCTCATTGTCCTAAAACGTTTATAATTTACAGATACAATTTTAGCTGCAAAAGATGTGAACTCACTCATAGGAATTCAAAATGACATTGGAACCTGGAATTCATGATACATTTAACTATATTTCTTACCTAAAGAAATGGAAAACGTTGAAGATTTTTTACAGCGTCATATGGATGCAAACATAGGTCAGTCTGTTTTACCCCAAATTTTTCAGAACGTCAAAAGCAGGGAATCACCTCTTCTGAGACGTTCTTTTAGGTGTTTGTGAGCATTTTCGACACGGTTGTTTGTGTGGTTGCCCAGGCTTAATACATGTCGCCGGTAACAGCGAGCCCACATTGACTTCCTGGCAATCCAGTAGTCTTTTATGTAGTCATACGCTCGTGAGAAATGCGTCCTTAGATGTTCGTACTTTCGAGTATATCTGAATATAATGCGCTATGAAAAGCGAAGCTCACATATCAGACCGTCTAGTCTTCACAAGGTGTTCCAAGCATTTGCGCACATCAGGATTTCGGAACTACAGATAATTTGTACAGCTAACACATACCTTCCTGAAAAACGCTATCAGGGCATGGAATAAACAAAGTATTATGTTAGAATGACTGTGCGTAGACTGCACAGCCGAAATTTCGGTCGCTGCCGAATCCATGACGAAAGTGCGTGTATCATAAGTACCGTACATTATATGGTTAAAACATTCTGATAGTTTTTAGACATCTTCGCGTCGTTCTTGACTGCAAAGAGCATAAATAACAGTGTGCCCTTGCCCAAGACTATCAGTCACCACTAGCTGGAACAGTGAAAAACTTTCAGATAAATTTATTACTAATCGTTACCCGACTTTATTGGTCTGATAAGTCAAATCAATACATATTACCTCCAGGAACGTGAGGTAAACAGCTATTTGCTCTCTGTGGCTGAAGCAAATCATAGTCATGTTCCCATTTTCATTGAATACTTTAACTTCAGTATTTGCTTGAACGCGCTGTAAAATGTCATTGATATTTTTAGTGTCTAAACTCAATTAATTACAATGTGACATATCTCACGAAAAGGTACTTTAGAGTTGGATCATCATTGTTCTTTTTGCATACTGACATAACGTACTTAGTATGCGTATACTAAAAAAATAATTATTAACCACAGAGGTCATATTACCTTATGTACTTCTTTCAAACAGGTCTCAAAACTGTCCCAACTTGTAAATCTTCGAGATAACATAATATCATTGAAGATTCGTCCTATATCATGCTTCATCACGATGGAATCGTCTTCGTTCTTTGAAGAATGAACGTTATCAAACATAATGTGGCTGAACTCAATTCATATCTAAAAATGTCTTGATTTGACCGCTTCCGAAAATTTTCACGAATTGTCGATGTGACGCACCAATCATTTTGCGACAGTTTGACCTTCAAGTGCTCGCAACCCTCATCAGTGGACGATACCCTAGGAGCGTTGCCGAAATGGTCAGAGGATTGCCTGCAAAGGTCGTTGTGAGAGGGCTGCCTCCTAAATTAAGTGCTGATGATTTCATCAGAATTGTTGACCCGCTACCCTCTCACACCTACTTTAGGTTTTGCGGTGCTGATGACTCATTGGGTGGTTTGGGGCTGACGCGGGTTTACATCACATTCAACGACATAGATTCTCTATTTGATTTCAAAGAAAGGTTTGATGGCTACATTTTTTTGGATTGCGAGGTAGTCCTAGTTTTCTAGTTACTCGTTCAGGGAAATGAGTCCTCCGCACTTGTAGAGTTTGCCGTTTGCCAGGCATTGGCGAGTGTTAAAGGGTCTTCAGACGATAATAAAGGAGGGAAAGTGGACAAAAAACAGGGTTCCTTGTTGAAAGACTCAGCATATTTGAAGTTTATAAACTCTCAATCTGCTGAAGTTTGTGCCGAAATATCAGAATCAGAGTCTAAAAAAACTCCTTGGGAATCCATTTTAGATGATCTTCAAAACAAGGAAACGAACGCTCTTCAGGTTAGTGCGATAATGCAATATTATTTTTCTACCCTTAATATTCAGTTTTTAATCTTGATTATTCGTACGTATATATTGTTAAATAGGGATAAAATTCTCAAAGGTTGGTGCAAACATTTTGCACATACTCTTCAGTAATAAGGATAGTAGGTTGGTGAACCTGTGTTAATCCTGACAGATTGCCTTTCAGTGATGGTTCAGTCTCTTGAAAATATTGACTGATGAAACTGGTACTACTTGTTGGGGTAAGGCATTCCAATCATTGTCTACTCAATGAGAAAAACGGGACCCCACTTTAAGTTTATTAGATCGCAGTTTGTATACCTTCTTGCTATAACCTCGGAAATTATTAGTTCTTGAGGGAGCAAAAAGAGAAGACAATAACACCCAAATCATCATTAAAGATACGAAATGCTAGTTTATGGTCACTTTGCGTCCTACGATACGACAAGGGGAAAAGGTTTAGGCGTTTTAAACTATCATCGTAAGGGAGTTTGGGAAGACCTTTTACTAATTTTGTTTCCAAACGCTGAACATGCTCAAATGAGTTGATATCCTTTATCGGACATGGGCTAGGTGCCTGGATACAACACTCTAAGTGTGGTCTTACATAGGTTGGATATAAAATTCGAAACATTTCCTCGTCAAAGCATTTGAATACTCGGCAAAGTGACCATAACTCACGGTAACATTTGGCAGCAGCTGCGATGAAATGCGTGGTTGTTTTCATGTCATGACTTTTTGTACTTGAACTCAAGGAAAAGATATACCATCAATAATATAATGGTAACTATTACCATACGACTGTAAAGTTTAAAGTTGCCGGTGAAGCTTTCATCCTTAGGATTGACGTAGTCATCATGTTGTATTTCCAACCCTACGTAGTGAGTAATCGAAAAGTCAATTTAGAAATACTGAATACTGCAGGACATCTATCCATGTTCATTCAAGATACCTTGCATTAAATTGACCGTGTTAAACTTGGAAGATCGTAAGGTGACTACAGTGTGTTGTGGCATTACATACTACAAAAGTTGATTTGTTATGTTATTAGGAGTTAATGGCAATGTAATTAGTTTGTCTATTTCTGACCGACACAAGTTACCCTTGAAAAGTTCTCATCACCTGGTTATAAGCCAGTTGTTTCTTTTTGATAGTTCATACATGTTTCGTGCCTATACATTTCAAAAGTTTGCATTGGAGTAATTTTGAGGATCGTGAAACGTAAGCTCAAGTAAAGGTAGCCTTTCAAAAGTTTTCTAAAGGTTTCGTCGTCGTAGTGCAAGATTTAGATAGTTATACCTGGTCATCAAATTATGAGTAAGCTAGTCTTCTGTACAGCGTTACAAAAATTCCTCGATTTTCATTAGCTACTGTGTTGGGTCACTCCTGAGCGAATGTTTAAAGCGTTGGTTCCCAACCACTTACGTGAAAGCCCAAATTTTCCCCACATACCTCGGTCTTGGTAGCCAGTAAAACTTGCTGGCCCTTGCACAAAATCTGGGCACTTGTGGTAACTGATATAGTCGGTGACGGCGTTGTTTCCTAAATGTAAGTGTTTCAAAGCCAAAAGTAACCTAGCTAGTTGGGATGGACAAATAAATAAAGTATATTATTAACTTATAGCAAATATGATAGGTTATTCGATCATTCACTAATCCTTCAGTTTAGATGTTAATTCTTTTGTGTGGAAGTATTATAAGTTGTCTTTGTCATTGCATATGGAATACTTCATATTGCTTCTGCCTATCCATAATCTTTCCACATATCATAATTGCTATTATCATCGGAATAACTCACTGAGCATTTCGTAAGATGCTAGTTACTGTTGTGTACAATGGAATGCATAAAAGGGAAATATAACAAATATCTTTGGTACGCCACTAGTGTTGGTTTGTTTACGGCTGTAGAAAAAAGATATGTGAGGCTTCTCTCCTTCGCTCAGCGTTTTATGTCTCTTAATTACATCGAATAATAAGTGCAAGTCATGAAACTAATTAAGTTCCTCGAAACACAACCCATTCCCCAATATTGACTATTTTGTCACTAAATATTTCTTTCTTGATATGTACCAGTTTCTAGCTATAAAAAGCTTGTAAATTCCCATGAATAATTTTACCCTACATTCTTTTCCTTTCTGCATGATGCTGATGGTCAGATTAAACGTCTGACTACTCAACATTATCACCTATTTGCTATCTCACTAGTGCGTGGAAAGTATTATTTCTACCTTGTGTTAGTAGTGTCGTTATCTTTCTGATTATCTGTACTGTTTGTCTGCATATTTCTATCTTTATCCGTTTATCCGTCCGTCCAACGACCTGTTCACCAAGTACGAGTTTATGTTCTTAGCTTTACCGTTTGTTTGAGGGTTTCTACCTGGTTGCCCAAATCAAGTAGTGTCAAACTTGTAACATGCTGGGTTAAACCCGGATTTTTTAATCATCAAGATATCGCATATGTACATGTATTAAACCTCCGGATGATTGTTTTGTAGACACAAATTGTCACACCACTTTTAACCTACTTAAATAACCGTGGTGGAGATATTAGACGTAAAGATGAAGAATCACGTCACAGGCAGTTTAGACAAGGTAATCCATCTGTCATCAAGAAAACGCCGAAAGTAGACAAGTCTGTACGAATTCATCCATCAGTTAGGCGACCTCATGAATTAAAGCGTATTTCTTCTGATCGCATTTGCGAGGTTTCAAACAAAGAAAACCCTCACCATAACAGCACGGAAGATTTAACGAGAGTTGATCCAAAAATGCAAAAGAATAAGAATTCAGAAAAGTTGATTACATTGGATGCAAATGAATTTCCTGCTATGCAAAGTTCCTGTGAGTTCTAGTATTACTTTAAAAAAAATTTTTATTTAAAAATTCATCTGGTCACAACATCAAAGTGGTCGCAATGTTTATTAGTGAGCAATCATCCCAAGTGATATTAAATCCTTGTGATGGTTGTTGATGCTAAGAATTTGGGTAATGATGCTTAACTAGTCACAACGCGAATGTCCGTACAGTTAGACACTGATAAAATTCATCACATAAAATGGAATAGACATGTTAGGAAAAACATTGAGTAAGGAAGTGGCACATGAGTTTATGAGAATAATTTTTAACAAAATACAGATTAGTTAAAATACAGCTAGAAAGACATTTTAGATTTAAGGAAGTTCATTAAACCGTAATATAACGTTGTAATAGAAAACTACAGCATCTGTATCAAGTATTCTCAATCGTATCTAACGACGTCTCAAGTCTTACGTAATCCCCAGTCCCACTAGTGGAGTCCTAATAGCCCAGCATATCCCAGTCTTACGCAACTCTATTACATCTTACTACACCGTGTGATGGACTAACTAGTTTCACTATCCAATCCCATCGTTGGCTATTAATGCGCTGCATAGAAAAAAGCCAAATGATAATAACATTAGGATGACAGTGAAAGACGCTTGAGCCGTCGTGGTTACCGTTTCAACGTAGTGAAACCAATTCGGTTTTCAGTACTACCCTTCCAAGTATAATATGTTGTCTGGCGTCTTGATTGCAAACATGGTGTTTCCACTGAATGTGAGGATTTAAATTGTGTCGATTTAATGACTCAAAAGACTAAAATCACCAAAAATAAGGTCGAAAGTTGCGAATGTACTGCCGACTGTCAGTCAGTCAGCTACAATGTAGGACCAGGCACATATATGCATCGGTCTAAGTTGCCATATCTCATTAACACAACAAGATGGACACCGAATTCATAAAAATAGTTAATTCAGAGGTGGCCCTGGTACGGCCGAGAGTGGGGAGAGTCCGCTCTCCCTCTCGAAATGCTCTCACATGGTCACGCGTATATAGCCTCTGTCAGGGAAGTCCTACTCACTGCCTTCTCGTGGCGGGGATGTTGTTTACGAAAATGAGAGGACGAAAAGCGAATGTCCGGCGCTTTAACCGGATTCCAAATCAATGGTGCACATGGGCTCCAGTATCTTGCGGGAACAAATGGCGTATGAACCAATTGTTGGTCACCGGCTTCCATGGGACTGCATTTCCTTACGATGCTCCACTGCCTTGTGGATCAGACCCTCAGGTCGAAGGCTCCGGGTGTGGCCCCCTAAGAAAACCACCTGTTTCGGTTTGGGCACCCGGGCAGTATCACAGCCCTCACACACATATCGAATGAGATTTGTGTGGCGCATATGTATTTGGTGCCTCTTTGTACCATTATTTATGTGTTGAAATAAATAAATAAAAAGAAAGATTGCAATTAGGATATAGTACAGGAAGAAAGAATTAGTTCGTACAAAGAAAGATATGAAGCGATTTTAATCTCTTAGTTTAAGGATGGACAGAGAGTGTATACACCGACGCAATTGTGATCGATTCTGAGCCATGTTACCAAGAGTCTCCAACCATTGGTTACGATAGTCACGCGGACCCCAACCAAGTAGTCTGCATCTCCCAACACGGCTCAGACTAGAAGTTAGTGACTTCAAGCACTGATGCCACGTTTTGGTTTGGTCGCCCCTAACTTTCTTTCAGCCATCTCCAACACTGGTTAGCATTGCACGTCATGGTAATCGGTGTTCAGGCATACGCAACACGTGGCCCAGCCATCTCAGTCGATGAAGATTCACAACCTCATCAACTGATTTACCATCATTCCCTAACACAGTGCGTCCAACCTCACTATTACTGACCCGGTGATCCCAGTAAATGCTGGCAATATTACTAAGACATCTGTCATAAAATACTAGTAACTTGGGAGTATCTTTTACCCTTAATGGCCACGTTTCGTAGCCGTAAATAAAAACAGAACGAACTGCTGCTTAGTATACGCGTTCCTTAATTGGTAAGTGGATATCTCGCCTTCGTTATAGGTGACGTAAGCTGGCTAAAACCAAACGAGCTTTCTGAATCCGTGAAGAGATTTCGTCAGACACCAACCCAATAGGGCTGATCAGACTTCCAAGATAAACGAAGTTGTCGACGCGTTCAACTACTTCACTCCCTATCCTTAGTTCAGGTGTAGACGCAGGCCAGTCCTGAAGTAATGATTTGCATTTAGAGGGGTAGGAACGCATCCCAAACATGATAGCATTGTTGCTTGAGGCGGTTGAAAGACTATATTTTATTCACGTCTTCACTAACTAGGACTATCTTTTGGGTATTCTAAATGAACATAAGAATCTTTTAGGTCGATTACTAACAACTCAAACGACAAGAGTGTTAACTCTGAAAAGCATTTGTGATATAGTTGAATAAAAATGACGACAGTTGGCAACCATGACGAACACCATTTTAAGGTATCGATTCCGATGACAGTTCCCTATAAGCTCTTCACCATTAGTTTCTATGTAGAGAGGCTACATAAGGTACACGTTTCAATGTTGTTAACTACCACAAAACCTTTCAATCTACGGAGTCGAGCACTGCCTGAAAGCCAAGAAGTACAACTATAATTGGTAGTTGATAGGTATGCCTGCTCAAAAACCTAGCAAATACTGATTATCTAGTCTACACATTAAAGTCGGGTTTTGAAACTAGTCTGGTTCTCCTAAGTTTACTCTTTACAAACCAAGTTGATTCCTTTGTGGTTACCACAAGACAATTCCTGTCAATTATTATAGACTGAAACGATCAGAGATCAAGACCCTCAGATGGGATCGCGACCACTTCTCAGACTCTAACGGAGGTCTCAGCCAATCTAACAGACAAAACTGGACTACCTCTCCCATAAAAATTTCCGGAATTAACCCATCAGAGCGTTCTCTCGCTTTAGATTAGATCTGTTATGGTTCGTTATTACTTGAACGCTATTACTGATGCGTCTTGCTCGAACGAAACGAAGGATCAATGGTTCAGCGACTCGATAGCTATTCTGGTTCGTTGTCCCCGACCCTGCTAACTCGATCAAGAAGTTTGGGTAAAGTGTAGAAAGTGTATTCTACAGACAAACAGCAGATAACAAGTCAGGTCAAGCACACAATCAAGTGTATTTATGCAAATATTCACAATTGATGTTGTCATTGAAAATTTTTAAACATTAATCAATGAGTTCATTAACTGACCGCTATTTAACATTTAATCGATAGGTTCATCAACTGACTTATTTGCACATCCAATCGATAGGTTCACCAACTGACTACCATTCAAACATTTAATCGATCAGTTCATCAATTGACCCCAATACGAATATATAAACATTTAATCGATAAGTTGATCGGTAATATAAAGTTTAAAAATATGAGTTTGGGGATCTATCGTCCCCAACACTCCTCCCCTTTTTAATAGCGGGCTTTCCTGGGGTCAACCTGCATCTTGATTGTAGCTCGCCGTTCTCGGATAGGCCACCGTCTGGGACGTGTTTCAGCTTGTTGTCGAGGTTTTTCTTGTGGTGGGGTTGCCGGTAAGTTGAATGTGTCTAGCAGGATGTCAAGAGGAATATTTGCTTCGGTTGATGGGCGGTCTGGGGCTAACCGTTTGCGTAACTGATTCCGATGGCGTTGCCATCTGCCACTGCCTTCCTCAACTTCGTACATGACTTGGCCAACTCTCCTGACCACTCGCGCTTCCGTCCATGGACCATGGGTTGGTCCGTAATCACGGGCAAACACAGACATCCCACTTCGTACGTGGATCGCTTTTCAAACTTTGTCCGTACTGGTGTCGGTGCATTACTTGGATGCATCAGGTTGTGGATCGTCTTCAGTCTTCTTCCCATTAGGATCTCCGCTGGGGACTTTCGCTCCGGCAACGTCTCATTTGGTGTTGTTCGGTACACATATAAGAAATTTCGCAACGCGTCCGCTGGCGTCCTCTCCCCTTTTGTCTTAGCCAAGGCTCCTTTAAACGTATCCACAAAACTTTCTGCTTGCCCATTCGACTGCGGGTAGTATGGTGGCGAGCGTAAGTGCTTTATGGCGAGTCGTTGACAGAATGACTGGAATTGGCTGGAGGTGAACTGTGAACCATTGTCAGATACAATGGCATCTGGTATACCATTTCGGGAGAAAATTTCTGTGAGGATCTGTAATGTTTTAGTCGTCGTTGGCGATATAATAGGGTTAATTTCAGGCCATTTCAAAAGGGCGTCGACTACAACTAGATACATTGTTCCGTTAATTGGGCCTGCAAAGTCGACGTGTATCCTGGACCAAGGATGATCAGGTTGTGTCCATGAAACTGGTGGAACTTTGGCGTTCACCCTTGCCACTTACCTACACCGCATACACCTTACAACCTGTTCTGTTATATGCTGATCTATTAGCGGCCAATACGCATGACTCCTGGCTAAGAATTTCATTCGTCTAACCCCCAGACGACCAAGCTGGAACTGTTTCAGCAATTTCGCACGAAGAGATTCGGACACAACCACACTTTCTCCGAACATCAAGCAGTCGTTTACAACACATTGCGAGACCCGCCGCCGATACAGGTGTTTCATGTCACCATCAAACTTCTTAGAAGGCCAACCGTTGGTGACATAACTCATATACATCCTGATGATGGCTCACTCTTAGAAGCATTTTGCATGTCCTTTGCAGATACCGGAAAAAATTGTATTGCGGTCGTCAGATAACATTCGGCATGGTCTTCCGCTAGCAGAGATTCGATTACCGTGTTTTCCTCAGGCGCCAACTGGTCACTAATGAGTCGTGATAAGGCATCCCCCTGACCGAATTGCTGAGTGTGTCGGTACTGGATGTCGAAATCATACCCCAAGAGTGCTAAGGCCCATCTCTGAAGACGATTTGCAGAATGAGCTGGAATGCCAGATTTCGACCCGAATATTGCGAGTAAAGGCTTGTGATCTGTGAGAAGCGTGAATCTCCGACCGTACA